CTGTGCGTGTGTGTAGATCACCCACTTGTCCTCCTGTGCGTGTGTGTGCGTGTGTGTGCGTGTGTGTGATTCACAGTACCAGAACATTTAACCGCCTGCTCTGGGTCACAGTCCAAGACAACAAAGCAGCTTTTCACAGGTACGTGGCTCCAGGAGGGGAAATAATAAAAATTATGCACCGAGAGCAGTGGATTTAGTGAAGCACAAACACACGCTCGCGCACAAACACACGCGCACGCACAGATCAAATCAAAGAGCTCAGACTCAACTTGAAAACATAAGCCAACACAGTGAAGTGTTCTGTTCTCTCGAAGGCTATAATCCTGTTTCCACAAAGGGCCGCTCACTCTGCACTTGTTTTCCTCACAATGATAATTACAGGTCTGTGGACACACACGTGCTCATGCACAGAAACAAACACACACATCTATACGGTTCCCTACGGCACAGACTTGCAGCAGAGTGAGCTGTGACTTTTCATCCCATTAGCAGATGGTGCCCCTGGTGGAGGCTGTGGTCAGAGAGTCTAATGGACAGGAGTGAGTGGTCAGCCAGGTCACAGGCTGTTCCGTTCCATCAGTGTGAGGCTACAGTATCATCGCTCACAGACAGAAATGAGACGACTGTAAAGATTGACCTCCTCTCTCACACACAGTGAGAAGAAGCTGAACCTTCAGAGACTCTGCACCATGAAGGTGAAGAAATATAAAACAGTCTCTGGTTAAAAAGAAAAAAAATCATCTCTGTCAACAAAAAGGATCCAAGTTAGTCAAACTATCACCAACTCTTTAATGTCAATTTAAACTGTGTGCCAGAGATTGACATTGTAAAGGTTTTAGAATAATTTGAAACTAAAAAAAAATTATTTTTGTCCCTTTGTCAAGTTAATTAGTGCAGTTTAATAACGTTTTAAATTTCTCCAACATCAACAACATCGCCAAAGTTTTATTATCTACATCCAAAAGTAGTAAAAATAAAAAATCCACCTCAGAAATCACACATTAATTAAGGCAACATGAAACTTTTGAACATTTGAAAATGTGGCCTGGTGTCGTTTGAAATAATAAATAAATGAAATAATCAGTAAAAAGAAAATTTCCCAAAGAACACTGTGTATGTGCAGCTGACAGGAAGATGGGCTTTCAGAGGATCACAGGTCAAAGTTCAGGGGGTTCATCATGACCTCAACCACGTGACACATTTCAGTCACACAACCATCTCCATCAACCTTCTCTCCCCGGTGCCAGGGTTCATGGACTGTTCTCCAACTTCCTGTTTCAATCCAAAACCAAACAAACCAAACGTTGCGTCTTCAACTTTACATCTGCAGATTGTTGAGTCTTAGCCGTGCACCTATCATCAGTTCTAGTTCCACGATCTCTGGTCCTGAACGTGTCTTCAGTGAACACTACGACAATAAGACTGTTCTGAGGTCAGAGGTCAGTTGATGGAAGAGACAGTGTAGAAAGAAAATGTCTGTTAAAGTGAAGTCTTTCATAAATTTGAGAGATTTCAAAATTATTTTATAGATAAAGGATTTTTGTACATCTACAAAAACAAATATTTTAGTGAAGAATTATCGTAAAGCAAAATGTGATTTGTTTGGGCAGAAAATGTTGTATTCAAGTGGACCAGAATCAACAGTACCAGAACCGACAGCACCAGGATCTACAGTTGCAGGATCTGCAGTTCCAGAACATTCACAGTACCAGAACATTCACAGTACCAGAACATTAGATTTCTTAGGAAAGATTAGGTTGGCCTTAAGACTTGTATGAGACTGGAAAATACTGAATAAGACTGAAAACCCATTCATTATAGAAGACATTTTCTCTGCTTTTATGTAAATTCACAAGGTTCCCTGACATCTAAAGGAAACGTTAATAACAGTCAGCACAGCTGGACCTTTTCATCAGCCAAGTTCTGAACAACCTGTCTCTGAGCCTTTACCTTTTAAGGGTAATGAGAACGCCACATGCTTCATCTGCAGGGATAAAGCTTCACGTAACCATGACAACGGATAGGCAGCCAATGAAGAGAAATAATGACTGATAAACCAATAGATGTGGGATAGGAGAAAGTGCAAGTGACTGGGTTGTTTTGTTTTGTTTTTTTTCGAGCGTATCCAATTCTGACAGGTATGGTCAACTGACAGGACACCCAACAACAAAATGTATGTTTGAGTCAGACCAAGAAGAAGAACAAGACCAGAACAAGAATAAGTCAACAATGAATCTGAACAGTTAAGAAGTTAAGTTATTTATGTCAACATTTCTTTGAAGTTTATCATGAAAAGGATTAAATCTGACGTGTTTGGGACACAGTTCCAGGTTTGGGAAAATAAAAAAAAAATAAAATCGTACTAACACTTAAGGAGTAGACATACTCCAATAAAGTTATTGGAATATATTAATTATATTTCTATTAAATATGTCAACAACCCCCCCGCCCCCCACCTTCCAAAAAAAGACATATGTATCCTTTAATGCTATTTGTAAAAATGACAATAATCTTTTTTTTTCAGACTCAATTATCAAAACACTCATTCACACCTCTGTAAGTTCACCGCTGAGAGACATATGGCACGTGCACACACACAGTCTCGTGCACGCTCAGGTATGAAGCTGTGAAATGCTGACAGGACAGAAGTGCAGCTCTGTCACAGCCTCCACAGCTCACAGACGTACGCAGCCGCAGCAGCAGCAGCAGCAGCAGCCGCAGCAGAGCCACATTACGTTTTCCCATCTGACCTGGGTTTCCAACATCCCACACACTTTCCCACACACTTTTCATATAAAAACATTTAGTGATGAGGCCAGAGATTCCCTCAGTGGTCGGAGAACATCCGCAATCAGCAGTTAGGTCTCCATCCGTAAGAGCTGAAGTAATTATTGTCTGAAGATAAAAATGGAAAGCAGTGGTGGTTTTTAGAGGGAAAAATAAACCAGAGATAGAAATTACCTTAATATTATTTCTCTCTCTGGCCATTTCCAATAAGAGTGTTCCATCTGAGGCTTTGATAAAAGGATTATGCAGCCAGCTTTATGTGGCTGGACTCAAATCTGGATATGGAAGGAGGGCTGTTTGATTGAATAATTCTTGTTTCCTTTCTGCCAAGCTTGCACTCCTCTTTGGGAAAAGTAAAAAATCAGCATTATGGCAGATTTCTACATGTCCGTCTGTGGGAGTCACTGCAGCTCAGTCTGAACACCGACTCGACCGTCAGCTGCTCTGTTTGACCGCTAACATGAGGAAATGCTGAAGGAAAAAAATGAGGACTTTCACCAGACGAGAAATATACTTATAGAAAACAGGCTTAGTCATATAGAGTCACAGTGTATACATGAGAGAGAGAGATGTTTGTTTGGAAATATGTGTATATGTAGTAGTGATGTACACTGTGTATCTGGATACACTTGAAAAAAAAAATAAAAACATTTACAGGCTGATAATATTTACAAAAGTATATGTTTAAATATCACAAACCAAACAGCATTAAAATAGTAATAATAATAATAGTAAAGCTAATGTTAGAAAATGCTGCTCATTAGTTTTATGTTATGGTTTTACTAAAGTTTTTTTACTGACGCTGAATGTTTGATACAATTCTTAGTTCATCTTTGATGGAAAAGTCTGACTACAGCAAATTATCAGAAATAATGATGCATAAATATCTAGCGACATTTCAATGTTTTAGCACATCCTTTTGACAGGTGTAGTGGCCAATCACAGATCTCGTACTGTTACCTACAGTAAGTCAATTAGTTGTACATAAAACATGATTTCAACGACTTGGAAAAATTGAAAACTCCAAATTTGCAACAACTTAGTGCCGTCGATAGTTTATTTCAGTAAAACAGATGGAGATGAAACCTCACACACAACTACATGTATTTATTTTTTTTTTGTTTTTTGACAGGACTGAGTCTGAAGGGCTTCATAAATAACCGGACTCTGATTTATTTAAACAGCTGAAGTGACAGGACATAATGTGGCTGCTGTTGTCAGACGCCATCAGCCGTAGGTGCACGCTGCCGTTAAGCTGTCTGACCTCAGACTTCAGTTATCGTAACAGGGTTGTGACCTCACGACCTGCAGTCATTACTGCAGTCTCCTCCAATCAGCTGCACAACGCACAGATAAAACCTAGTGAGAGGGCTGGGAGGGGTGACAGGCTGCTGGAGGAGAGGGGGCATTTGATTTCTGTGTGTGTGTGTGTTATATTCATGTGTATGCGTCCATACTTGTGGGGACCGAGGGTATTTTGATGCCATTTGCCTCCTAAGGGGCTTAGTTTAGGATGAGTACTTCAGGGTTTAGGGTTAAGATAAGAATTTAGATGAAGTACAGGTTTGGAAATGGGATTAAAGAGGAGGATGGACTGGAGACAGAACTCCGGTTTAGGTCAAACGGTTTGGGACTGACAAGGTTAAAATTTCTACAGTACCATTCAGGACAAAATTGTTAGTCTAAGAAAAAGGTTATGTTAACACCACATGTGTTCATGTTATAGATCAGCGGTGTCAAACAGAATCATCAAGAGGCCGAAATTTAAAAACCAGTCTCAGGTGTGGGCCGAACAAGATCAACGTTTCTAGAACAACGATGAAAACAGACTGCAACCGTTTTTTTCCTGGCTAAAAAAGAAAAAGAAATTCAAAATATAAAAATCAAGCAGACTTAGAATATTGTTCCATAAAGATTTGGATTTGTCAAAATAAATATGTAGTTTCTGCCAACTGTATTACTACACGTGGGCCGCATAAAATGACACGATGAGTCATATTCGGCCCGCTGGCCTTGAGTTTGACACATTATAGATGTATTTGCGTTATAAGTTATGTTATAAACTCACAATATTCATTGAACTCAATATAAATACTACATTGATGTGTTTCATAGTGTTCTGAAAAACAAATTCAAGTAAACTGAGTTTTCTTATTGTATTTTATATTGAAAATACTATACAATTCAAAAGAATTTACTGCAGACAACAGAAAAACAAGACAACCCACGAAGTACAATTCAACCACCGGTGAGACAAAAACATCATTAATAACGTACGATAATTACAATATTATTTAAAAGACAAAACACATTTTACACTTTTAAACTTCTGATAATTTGTAAAAAAAAAATCCTCTTCTCTTTCCTTAAGATTTTAATTACTCTGTTCTGGACAGATTATCAGTGGGTTCCAGTTCTAACAAGTCTTTTCCTAACCATCCAGTCTGTGCCATCATACCTATGTTGAGTCAGAAACAGTGGATGCAGAGAAAACTTAATTTTCAAGCGTCCATGTCACTCGATGCATTCTGGTAGATTTAAGACCTTGTGTTCTTTGTCCATCCAATCAAATCCCTTTAATCACCAAAGTAACTGCAGGACAGCTAGAAAGTCTTGATACGCCAGTTTGATACCAACTCAAAATCTGATTGGTTAAAGTCATTGCCATTTATTTTAGCCCCCCATGCTAGCACTACTGATTCTGAAGGCCTTTGAACTGATTTCTTTCAACCTGCCAACACATGACGCTGATATATGATTGGCTAAAAAAAAAAGAAAACTTTGGCTGTATCAACAGGAAGCAGCACAACAAAAAAGATAAGAACAGAATACTCTGAATTATTTAATAAATATTAATGATAAATATATTGTAAAATGAGTGACTGAACCTGATACTGTTTAGACCAGCAGAGGAGACTGGTGGGCCTTGACTGTGACACAGTCAGTTTCAATTCATGGAGGACTGTGATACCATGTTGGGTTGCTATTTTAAAGCAACAAAATATAAGATATTTCGACTTCATATAAGTAAAGATTTAAACCTATATTTGATAGAAAAGTCTGACTACAGCAAATAATCACAAATTATGATGCATAACAACCTAGTGACATTTCAATGTTATAGCAAATCCTTTTGACAACAGTCACGGACAGTCACTGATGAGTCAGTGTCTGCAGACTGAGCAGAAAAATGCTAAAAGACAAATCAGGTGAAAAATCACGAAAAAACAAAAGAAAACACAGAATTGGTCGATTCACAAACTTTACATAAAATTTCATAGGAAACGGCTAAAGCACTGCATGTGCCCCAGGAGCCAAAGGTTGAACACCCCCAGTATAACTGCTTAATAACAACAAAACATTTTTAGCACAACCCTTTACAATGATGACAGATATTATATTAGTCATGAAATATTATGATGTTGTACCAAAAGAACGCAAAAAAAGAACTACTTTGTTGACACTCCCTAACTTCTAAGACAGGTGCACAGCTTGTACATGAAAACAATTATTTGAAATATTTGGAAAATTAAAATCAAAACACCAGAGTTGTACAGGGTCTGTGAAGTCACACAGTGTGTACCGTTTAAGCTACAAGTAAAGTTTTCTTCTTTTTCTAGAACAGGTCAAAGTGGAATCCCTGCTAATATTTATAACTGCTAAAACTTATTTTACTGACTATTAAAACAACAAAAACACCAAATTGTTTAGAAAAATCATTACGCAGCTAGCCAATGACTGTACAATTAAAAAGTGGTCATGTGATGTTCATGTGTCTAAACCTATAGGTACTGTATTTATTTAGCACATTCAAACGGGAAAGGGAAGACAAACCTGATGCTTTGTATAAATGTACAGAAGTCTGAAAGAGAGAAATATAACAAAATATTAAGATAGTCAGTCTAGGAGTAATAAATTAATAACTTTAAGACACTCCCTAAATAATTACATTTGGCTTCTGCCAATATACTATAAAGTCTAAAAGTTTAAATCATTATATGAGCATGTTTAGTGATGTTGGGGACAAGGTCTACAAGTGCAGGAAAAAATTAAAAATTAATAGAAATAAAAATCTGTATTTCACAGTTATTAATTAGCAAGCTATAGAAGAGAGCTATAAGTAGAGAAATGGCAGACATTTAAAGAATCTGATTTATTTTTCTTCCCGACAACAAGCTCAACGATGTGAAGAAATACTAAGACGTCATCTCCAGTTTTGTTACAAGTAAAAATTCTTTACAGAAAATAGTCAGCAATTCCTCCTTCTTTTTTATTTCTATTCTATTATCTGTTTTCTGATGGATGCAAAAATTGTCAGCGGTGCAACTGTAGCTCTGCACCTGTAGGCAGAAATGAGAAATTCCTATGAAGTCACAGCAGAAAATGATTGGTCAGGAAAATAATCCCCCGAGACGAGGTCACGCCACGGACCACCATAACTTGACTCCGGCAAAAATAGTTCAAAAGATCTATCAGAACATTGCCATGTATCAGTATATCAATATATAGTATCAGTGTACTATAACATAACATCAGATATCATATCAGTTTCAGGACATTTGGCTGCATCGCTGATTCTATTCAACAGAGAACACTCAAAAACACACAATTAACTTTGGGCTAAACATTCCACCAGAAAATAATAAAAAAAAAGTTCCAAACAGTTTTCTATGACTGCCGGCTCCTTCCTCCTCAGCACTACTCACTAAGAATTTTGCACTTTTTCTTTACAAAAACAGATTGGAATGCAGCCCTGCCAGGATCCAAACTTCATATCTGACCTCTTCATCTCTAGATTCTGCCTCTCTGTCCCTGAAGCACCTCGTTGTCATTCCTAATCACTCCTCACAATCAACAACTGCACAACTTTTTTTTTCTTCATTATTGTTTTATTCATCTTCCCCTTCTCTCTCTGTTTAGGCAGTTCCCAGAAGGCATTGCCTTTCAGAATCTACCTCTCCGGTGGCAAAACAAATAGCGGTGGAAAACAAAACAAAGTCCCCCTGAAATACCTTTTGTGGTGGCCCAGAGGAAGGCGCTGGACGGACAGATGAGCAGATAGGTTTCCTCTGTCCTCCTCTCTCAGGCTGCCTCCTCTCTCGGTGGCTGTGGAGACTGACTGCTCACAGCCCGCCTGGCATATCTAATTAGAAGCCAGGCTGTTGCCACTATCGGGCAGAGGATCTACCTCTCCAATCTCTCCTGACTCAATCTTCCCCATCTCTGATTTTCTTTTATATTTATGCTGGAATATTTAATTGTAGACAAAAGGTTACTCTGGGCTCTATTCATCGCACACAGGCAGAATAATCTCCTTTAAAAGGCTTGACATTTCAGGCTTTTCAAAGGGGGCTGAAAAAATTATATCCCCGCTTTTGTTAATCAATGAAGTAGAACTCCCCCGAACAAAAGAATTAAATTGCTTGGTTGGGTTAATAAAACACACAGAAATAGCTGCTTCCTGTGGGCTTTTGTGCCTGCTGCTGGCTCCCCACATATGCAGGCAGCACTGTAATTCCATATGATTTCAGGGGGAGACAAAAAAAAAAGAGAAAACTCTCATTTCTCCACACAGTTGGCTTTTTAAATCCAACTGAATGAATAGTCTGTAAGGCTGACTGATTGGGACCTCTTGCCTGAGCCGGGTTGTCTTGCTGCCCAGCTACAGCAGAGCGGGCGCTACCACCGTTTAAATATGACTTCCACTAAAGAGAGACAGTGGGTCCACTACAATTTACAATTTCTATACTGTCCATGCTCTGGAAAGAAAGAAAGAAGAAGAAAAAAACAACATTGTAATTATGCAAATGATAGGGGTAATAATTAGGGCCCTTCTGTTCTATTGTGTTAGCGGCTGCTGCTGAGCTACGGTCCAATGGTGAAGCAGCAGGACGTGTTGGGTTTAAATTGCTCCTCACAGATAGACTGCAGATGTTGGCCGTGAATTCTCTTCAACAGCCAGACACAGGTTCACTCTGTACTGAGACTCTGAAGTTCAGACGACCAGCTGGTTCATCTGTGTGTCCAGCACACTACACTACACTACAGGTGTTTCACCCTTAGCACACACCACACACACAGGTGTGCGTGCTCTCCACCATGCTGCATCTCACAACCTCCATCATGGTCAATTATCAGGAATAATAATGGTTCTTAAATGGTTTTTAAATGACCTATTTTTTGTACACTGTTATTAATTAATTAATATAATCATTTCTGATGTGGTTTCTTCAACCGTACAAATTCTCAGCCACAGTTGGTCTGCCAAAGAAATAGGTAGAAACAAGCTGACAATCATTCCAGTAGATTGCTGGGAACTTGAACCAGTTAACCGCACCCATATGTAATCAGCAACCACACACCCCTAGTCCAGCTGTGAGCAGGTCTAAGACAGGTGTGATAATTAAGAAGCCCTGAACTGTGTCCCATGCTGTTTCATTGTTTGTTTGTTTTTTAACATTAATTCTTGAATCAGTAACACAACAGTAACAGTAAACATCAACATTCATAGAAAAACATTAAATGACACTGGCTAAATATATTTTGGTCAGACAGACAACATTCTGACCCAAACCCCCAGTCATACGTTTTGAAATATCACTGTACCAGTATTTTTATTTTTAATATATTTCCCTCCGTGCAGAAACACATTAAATTAATAAATTGTAAGAACACATTTTTTAAAAATTGTTTGGTTTTTTTGTTTTGTTTTTACCAAAATACACTAAAACACGTCAATGCTCCGTTTGCAAACAAATTGTTACATGTTTGTTTGTAGCTTTGGCTAAATATTTAAACTTCTTACACACAATGGTTCACCTTTAAACGAAGGAGTAACAATTCCAACAACCAGTTAATAAAACACAGAGTTAATACGTACCAGTCACAGATGAATGTCACTACCACATGTTTGAAGCCGCATTTCCCCCAGGCATACAGGTAATGAAGGAGGGGGCGTGGAAATAGAAGAAATAGTGGATGACTAACACAACACAGAATATATAACAATATTTAGCCTAAACATTTAAATACATTTTCTTTGAGAACCAGCACATGTTTGGGGTTTATTATATTTAAGTCATCTATCCATCTATTTACTTCAACGTGTGCTTTTTTGTGAGGTTTTATAGACTAGGTTTTTGCGCTCCTTCACCACATTCGCGACTATAGACTAGGGTTTTGCGCTCCTTCACCACATTCGCGACAGTTATCTGCATTTTCCGGCATAAACACACGGACGGCAGAGCCACAAAAACATGAGGGGTCAAAAGTTGTGATACTGAAATTTGGCAGACACGGAACACACATAACACAGAAGCATGGTAAGTCTACGATTATTCGATAACTCAAAGGAATATTAAAGCTAATCTCATGTTTATATAACTGGCAGGGCTTTTGATAATGTTATTGCTATTTAGTGGAGCTAACGTTAGCATTCCTCTTAAAGTGCATGTTCCATTATGACGAGTTCAGAACACTGGAGTTCTTGTGTATCGTGTCGCGTTTAAAATAACCGGGTAAAGCACACGAGTAGTGTTTTTTTTTAATGAAATAATTGAATATTTTTTAAATACAGATTACTCTAGTATAATTATTGGATCACATTCTTACAGCATGTGATAATTTCCTTTACTTGTGTTTTCTTCTCATGTTTTCTATTGTCTTTTTTTCTACAGGCCAGTTCCATGGTGGCAGTGGGACTGGCTCTGGCAGCAGCCGGATTTGCAGGTAAAAACAGTAAATATATGTGTAAATACATATGTATTTTTCCACAAAAGAAAATCATAATACATAAGTGTTGCAGAAGCAGGGAAATCAGATGTTACAGAACGATTTCCTCTCTATTTAGAAAATACTTTTAGTTGTAGTATACTATGAAAAACGTCAATGTATTGTTTATTGCATGGTGTAACATGATGGACTCTTAAACAAACCCCATAAAACAGAAAGTGGGTCGGGAGTGGTCGAGCTACGGCTTTATCGATTGTTCCAAGCTGTTCACTGCCCTTGACCCCTGACTTTTTTGCACTATGCTCCATATTTTTAATTGTTTCACACCACAATTTTTTAAATCTAAAACAGTATCAAAAAGCTCCTAGAGGTTTCACAGGGATGGGAATGAGGTTTATAAAGATGGGTAAGTTACCACAATACTGACCAAATGCAGTTACAGCATCCAGAATACAGTAGAAGTGAAAATAATTTACAATCAAGGTTTGTAATTACTGTAGGTTCTGGTGGAGTTACTTTTAGTTATTAATGCTAATTGTTTCTGCTCAGGTCGTTATGCCATTCGGGCCATGAAGGAGGTGGAGCCTCAAGTGAAACAGGCTCTTCAGAGCTTCCCCAAGACAGTGAGAAAAAAAATCCAAATGCTGGAACTAATTTCTGTTGTTTTGAATACAATATATGTTAAGTCTGTTTCTTGTTTCTGTTGTTGAAGGCTTTTGGAGGAGGCTATTATAAAGGCGGCTTTGAACCAAAAATGACAAAGAGAGAAGCTGCTCTGATATTGGGTGTCAGGTATGTTAATACTGATTCTGTGATCCCAGTATTGATAGTTCACTCATCAGTACCAGTCTGGAATATAAAGGCTGAACCTGAGTTTCATCAGGTTTTAGCTAGAACCAAAAATTGTGCTTGTAACAGTTTCTAAACTCTGGACTTTGGTACAAAATGGCTGAACTGTTTACAAAGATGCACAAACTCAGTGTACATCAGACAGAAGTTTTGTCTCACCTCCTGAATGTTTTTTTTAATTACTGTACTATTGTTAACTGAGAAGCTGCTGTGTTCCAGTCCCACAGCAAACAAAAACAAGATCAGGGAAGCTCACAGAAAGCTGATGATCCTGAACCATCCAGACAGAGGTGAGTGATGTTCAGCGCTCCCTCTGGTTCACACCAAGGTTAAAGAGAAAGAGCTCCACAGGAAACAAGTCTGATTTTGTTTCATCAACCTTTCTCTCTTTCTATTTCTCTCTCTCTCAGGTGGATCTCCCTACATCGCAGCAAAGGTAAACGAGGCTAAGGACCTGATGGACGGCCAGACCAAGACATAGTTGATGGTTTCTCACAGCAGAACTAACCACTTTTGTAAATGTACTGTTCTCTAATTAAACCATGCTGTACAAATCAAACCTGTCATAGAAGTTTTTCTTTTTTTATAGTTTCACACCATACAGGCGTTATGTTAGCCTTTTATCACCTTTAGAAAATTATGTAGATTTGATTAGTCTCACAGTACCACCCTGCTCTTTAAGTTTTAAACTTAATTTGTATAAATGACGGTATTCTTTTCAGCAGTGATCAAGTTTTTTTCTGGTTCCCGTCACCCCAACAAAAATTACATTTCAAATATGTTGAACTAACACCAAGTAATATGATTTTATAATAAATCAACAGCATCAAATAGCAGAACATTCGAAAAGAGAAAATAAAAGTGCGGTTGTACCATCAATATTTTCCTTCTGTCGGTCACACCGCACCGTCATGGCTGCGTGCCCCAAAAGCACTACTCTAGTGAAAAGACCACATAGAGTTGAATCTACATGAAAGATCAAGTTTATTTAAGAACTACGTGCATACAAAACATATTGCACATCAACCAACCAGAATGATCCTTAAAAAAAACATACTGGATGTCACAACACTCAGTAGTCCAAATTACCTCCAATGTAACCCTTGTGTGATATGGTTTAGTGTAAAGAAAAAGAAGAGCTTTTGATTTTATTTTTTTTGTTGGTTTTGTCTTTCATTTTTCTTAAATACTGTACATCATTTTAAATAAATACCAAATAAACCTTTCTAAATGGAACAATCACGACAGGTTTCCAGCCAGTCAGTCTGTGAAAGAATCATGAGTATGACTTTGTTGTTACCTTGATGGAAACATCTCAGCACCAGGGGTGTGGGGCAGGGGGGTCATTCTGGTTCACTAAGAATTCTGAAACAGTGATTTTAAAAAAATTGTTTGTATTTCATACCCAATTTCTAAAACAATTTAATCAAACTGAGATGTTTCCAGGAGACCCAGCACTGACCAGCTACATCTCTGTCCAGCACTTCAACAGTCACAGGTCAGTCTTCAGACTCGACTACAATCAATTTTTTTTTACATAAACAAAAATAGGGTTACATTTCAGTGCAAAAGAAAACTTTTCTCTCATTTGTTCCTTTACTGGACACTATAGTAACATTTGTTTTATGACCCAAGTAGTTGCATATTCAAAAACAAACAAAACACAAAGCAGCTAATGTCAAACTCCTCAACAGATATATATATTTATATACTGTATTTATATATATAAAGGACACCTGGACACTTGAGCCCCACAGACATCAAGAATGGTCACACCTGATTTTGCTAAGAAATGCCTCTGAAATCCGTTCAGAGTCTTTCAGCGTTAGCCTGCGCATGCCTTCAGAGCGGCAGCGCGAGCAGACGGCCCACACAGTTCAACTGCCGCCAGTTAAAAGGCAACCAGGTAACACAGAAACGAGTGAGAGGATCTCAGACGGTGGGCAGAGCCGGGCAACAACATGTTGAAATCTACTCTCAAGGCACAACAGCTGATCACATGTATGTTAAACATACGTGTTTTTTGTTTTTGTGACAAACCTATCCGTGCTGGGCACTGCTCATGCAGAACACTGAAGTTACAAAAAGACTACTTCAGATGCACAAGAAGGTTGTGTGGAAGCATCGTTCAGAGTCCAACTGGTTAAAATCAGACTTTTTTTTTTAAACTCTAAAACCCGTTAAGATACTACTATGTTTACCAATACAAACAGTGCTGCTGCATTTATACCACAGTACGAAACCCCGTCTGAGTTTTACAACTTCTGTGGCCAACTTCAACTCCTACATGAAGAAAGGACTGAAAGCTTAACATTAAGATTACACGTATACAAGTCTGTCTGTGTTGGTGAGTATCTTTGGCAAGCTCGTACAGGAAGAACTGTTGTAGAAAATGTAACAAAGAGGAGACGTGAGCGTGTTGTGTAGTTTAGGTTCAGATCTCTAAAAACACAAGCAGTGAAACAGGTTTCAAATACTTGTAAAGTTAATTAAAAAAATGGACAGTGCTTGTTGATTCACATGGCTGCTCTGGAGACGGACATTCAGTGCAGCCCAAGAGAACCACATATTTGAAACAACATTTGCCCCAGTTTTAACTAGGCCACTCCGTTAACAACAGGCTGTGCACTAGAGTCCTCGTAGGACACTTTGGCAGGCCTCTTGGTGGAAGACCTTGGAGCTCCATCAGCATCATGGGCCTCGCTGTCAGCAGTGGAGTTGCTGGGACCATTGGTGGTGGACGGTACCGGCTGAGGGCTGTGCTCTGCGATGGCTTCAACCTGACCCTAAAGAGAAATGTGGCAAAATCAGGTTTGATGGTTTTTTTGGACAAAAATGGAAAGACTTGGTCGAATTGTATCGGACAAGACATTAAACAGTGTACTAACCATGTCCTTGTTTTTCTTGGGTTCCTTAGACGTCAGCTGTCTGCTCTGTGACTCAGCTCTGGATATATAGTCTGCCACTGTCACTAAACCAACAAGAAGTCCACATGTAAAAAAATTCAAAAAGGTAAATGATCTTTTAGAGTTGTCCCTTTGAAATAATATAGTCAACACTTCATTATGTCTCTGTTTGTAGCAGCAGTGTGCAAAATGTTTCAAACTCCACACAACTGTTTTCAGGTGTTAGAAACTTTCAAAGCTAGAGCAGAAAAAAACCTACTGGCAGTTTGAGAATAGTGTTTATCTCAATGTTGATGTGAATGTGGTACAATGGCAACAGTTTCTGCTGTCAATGACAACCAACAAAATGCAGGGTTAAGGGAGAGCAATGTGACAAACATCACACATCCACAAGTTTTAGGTTGTGTTAAAGCAACGGTTCCCGACCTTTTTTTGTCTTGTGACACCATTTTGACATTACAATTTTTTCTGTGTTTTTTGTGTTTAATTTTGTAGCCATAATTTAAAATATAAATATATATATTTTTACCAGTAATTATTTTTTATCCAACCACTAGAAATTCATAGACCCCTTGAATTCTGCAACCCCAAGGTTGAGAAACACTGCGTTATAGACTCCGAAAAAAAGCCCCAGCACTGTGTGACACTACAAGATGATGCCGGTATAAAAGGAAACTATTTTTGTCTTTCAATATGCAGTACATGTCATATTCCCCAGCCCTTTACAGGGTGTTAGTAATAAAGTTGTAGTCCTGCTTCATAACTGTCCATTAAATTATTGGTGGGGGGTAACTTGGTCAGAAAATGTGCAGTATTTACAGTGTAACATTCCCAAAATCCACGCCACAAACCATTGTCATTGTACAACCCATATGTAATCAGTTAGACCTTGTTGTTTAGTACGTAGACACAAAGCCCAAACTGAGCGCAGATTTTCAGCAGAGCCTGTCAGAGCAGTGGCCACACACAGGAAGTTGTCACGGTTTACCTGGCTGCCTCTCCTCAGGCAGGCGGACACGGCGACGCCGGCTGCGGTTACGACGCTGGGGTTTAGCTTCAGATTCATCTAGGGATGTTACATTATTACAAAGGCTTGAGTTACCTGAACTATTCCTAACACTAGACCGACGTCGGTCCGAACAACATGAAGAGCATGTCTTACATAATGCTGAAGGTTTATGAAAGTTTGTCACCTTTAAAACTTTGTTTTCTCTATTTTCAGTTGAAACCTTAGATTACAACTTCAGTTTTTATTTTTGTGGGTAACTTTCTCAGATGTATAAATCCTATCATAGAGCTTGATGTGATTTACATACCAACTCCATTTTCACTCATGGAGGCGTTATCAGATTCACTCATGCCGTCCATCAAGGTGGCGTCCTCATCTGTCCTGCGTCTCCGGGACCTTCTGCGACGGTTTGCAGCCAAGTTTGACTCGCTTGCGTCGGTGTCTGCAGTCTGATCCGTCTCTGTGTTGGCTTCCAAGGCATTGTAGGAGTTATTCTCATGGTTCTGAGGGCCTGCTGCAGAGTGGTGGTGGTAGTCTAAGACACAGACAGGTTATATTACAAACTATTCTTAAAAAAAATTTTAAAAAACTATGATCTGGATAAATAATTAACAGAAAATATCCCTTGTTTGTTAAATTGCGTCACCTATTTACATTTATCAACATTTTAGTTGTTCCACATCTGAGTGGAAAGCTGCTGAGTGGGTTTACTCACAGGATCACTATCATTAAGTGATTAAACTATGACTAAACTATTATACTTTACCTGAGCTGCTGCTGTATCCTCTTCCACCTCTTCCTCTTCCTCCTGGTCCTCCACGGCCTCGACCAGGTCCTGGTCGTCGACGCCCATCTCTCTGTGGCCGTGGGCCTCTCTCCCTGAATGTAAGTTAGTTCACTTGTACAGTTGGAATAAAAACGTAAAACAATATATTCTGCAATTTAAAGTGGACCACAACCACTGATTGTTTTTTGTTTTTTTACTGGTGGTGGTGATTTCCAATCAAAGCCATGTGTCACAGGTTACCTGTCCCGGTCCTCTCCAGCCAGGGACCAGTCACTGAGTTCATCTTTACGCTCTGAATCAGTTTCAGATGCATTGGAGTGCTCTGAGTTGGTGCCTGAAGTCAAATAATGGGAGGCAACAAAAAAGTCTGATGAGATAAAAGACACTAAATTCCTGAAACAGTTTTAGATATTTGTTTCTCTGTGACTTTAACAGCCCTTCAGTTTTAATTAATTGACTAGGTGATGCTAAGACCAATTAATCACAGTATCTGAAGGAGTTTTAGTGAGTCTAATGTTGGATGTATGCTCAGGCTGTGTACCATATCCAGGGTTGTAGTTGTGTCCTCTACGTCCACGCCCACGGCTGTTGTAAGAGCGACTGCTGTGCGGGGCGCTGCCACCACTCTCTGGGTTGTATCCTCCTCCTCCTCTCTCCCTGTCGGCTGGTCGGTATCCCTGGGTGATCTGACGCAGCTGTTCATCAATCTGCATGCGCTCCAGACGAAGCTGTTCGACCTCCTGTTGAGAGAAAAAAAAAACAAAATAAAGAGGTTGCACTTAAACAGACAGACAAAATGTTCATCAATAAACAATGACTAAAAATAGAAAAAAATCAATTCAAATTCTGAGAATTCAGCTTAGTAAGGTCAACACAGGATACACATGCAGCATGCATCAAGACTGTGTCGTCTGTTGCTCTTTTTGAATCGTGCCAGGCTGGTGCACCCTATATGTCCAACTATCTATCTCAACTCTTCCTTTAGCTGCTGCAAGAAGCTCCACCGTGTCCTACAAACAATGCAAAATACAAGCCGAGCGACTGCACATCACAGGACATGCAGACAGAGTGCAGGACACACAGCAAAGTAAACAGCAAACCATACCACTGACCCTGTACAACCATAGATAGAATGGATGTGAATATTAATGTGAATGATATTATTAATATTAACAATAATAATGTTAATGCAAGTCAAACGTCTCATTGCATTTTGTCTGGTAAATCAGTTCATATTACACAAAATCTTCATGTTTTCATAAAGAAGGTCTGACTCGTTTAATGGATAAAGATTCACATTCAGATAAAAAGAAGTTTGCTGAAACTAAAGTTGTGGCCTTATTTTTCCACAGAAGTGCATTTATCCAGTGTTATTCTTGAATCCTGAACATTCCCTATAGAACTTCAAAGCTTCATCTTTTATTTATACTCACTGACGATGAAATATGTTTTATAAACCATCATGGTTTGAACGGTTTGACGAGGCTGTTAACTGATAAACTAACAAACATGATGATGTTGCTGCTTTTCTAAAAAAAACAAAAAAACTTTTGTACTATATTGAATTTAAATATCATTCATTTTTCAAATCAGCAAACAATGAGGAGCAGATAATTCTGGTCCATAATCTACAATATTCTACACCAACATCAATGTAGCTACTGAAGAAACGTTCCTGTTGAAGTGAGCCAGCACCATTTCAAAGGGTGTTGTGCACACAACCACAGTTAATGAGAAACAATTCAAACATCACTTTTGATTTTATCGTAAAATCTGCGAAAAAGAAAGGCCCATCGTGTTTTTTTCTGCCAGTCAATACTCCTCCATGCACTCAATCATCAGTCAACCAAGACGATGTTTCCACAAAATAATACCATGTTGTGGTAAGACTGTTGTCTGTGATTGTGCCTTCCAGAGAAACCCTCCTATAAAGGAACAAGAAGTTAAAACTAGTCTCTCTGGCCTTAGATTTCATCATCTTTTCACATTACTGAGCTTGGGTTAGCACCGATATCACTGCCTGAAATGGTTAGTTTAAGCTGTGGCATTGAATTAAAGCAAAAGGTCGTAACCAGAACAGTAGACAAACATGCATCACAAACAAACACCCTTTAGCCCTTGTTAGGGAAAATAGATACAGTACTTACATTAAGGTAAGAGATATGGTACTCCAGCAGCACCTGGACGTTGCCAATGCTCTCCTTTGTGCCAACAAAGGTGAACGGGACCATTCCCTTTGTCAACAAAACAAAACAACACACACCTCTCATGTTAGTATTGGACTGACAAGTTATTTTCATAAATGACTGAATGTTTTATCAGTGTACGAGGTAAACAGGCGGCAGTAGCAGGCTTACTTCCTGTCGGGGCTGCTTGTTGTCATTGTCTCCTTCTATCCTGACCCTCACCACACCAGACTTGTCTACAATCTCCTGGATGACCTTTCCGTTCTTACCTATCACTTTTCCTGGAAACAAACAACAGGAATCAGAAGACAAGGGTATGATAAAAATGCAACACAGCAACGATGTAAACGCTGCTGTGTTTTCTCAGGAATTGATATTTTAAAAATGTTATTGTTAATATTCGTCGCAGGAAAAGTAAATATAGAACAGCAGTTTATTTTCTACAAAACTCAGGCCAAAGTCAGGCCTTCACAAACACACACAAAGAATTTAAGATATCCACCAAACTAAACAGAAGTTTTTCTTTTATTTTTACATCAAGCAGGAAATGTGTCTCTACATACCGACAAGGTTTCTTGGCACCTGGACAGAATCCTCTACAAACTCCAAAAAGCCCCTGGCCTTCTTTACTGCCTCTGCTGTCTACAAGACAATACAGAAAATGATGTATGCATTTAATTTTATTATTCCTTTTTAAACCCTTTTTGAACTGAACTTTATTGGTATTTTTTTCTGAAGTCTGTATTTATGAAACATATCTATGAAGATTCTCAGAGTTCTAAGAGTTCCCATAGACACGTGAACATAAAATTTATGAAACATTTTGTGCCTCCAGCCACAGTCAGACACACGATGCCTCACCTCCCCATAAATCCTGAAAGTGCCAGTCTCTTCATCCAGCTCAATAGCAGTGACACCTGAAACTTTCCGAGCTTGCTGGATGTTGCTGCCATGGCTGCCGATGGCCAGTCCCATCAGATCCAGCCTCACAGTGAACTCCTCCTGAAAAGACGACACCAGCTGCCTAGAACTCTAAAAATACAAAATCCAGATGTATGTTAGTATTTGAACATCATTTTAAAATATTCCAAAGTCACCATTGTAAAGTATTGGCTTTACAATGGTAACAGAGATAATGGGATAAAAACTCGGGACTTTCACTAATCACTCAGGGTGCTATAATACAACTGACCTCCAGGTGTTTTGTGGCTTCCTGGTTGCGTGACATCAACAGCAGCTTGGTCCTGAGGCTGCGCAGGTGCATGTCATTTAGTAAAGACACACGCTTCACTGTTGACTCATTGGTAGACTAAAAAAGCACATACACACACATAAATAAGACTGATTTATTCATATGCCTGAAGCTTCATTTTGATGGAAACCAACAGCTACTTTATAAACACACTACAAACAGTTACCACAATCACTAGTTGGCTGGTCTCAGGGCAGTATGTGATGCGACAGGCTCCCACAGCCTTTTTGAAGTCCTTGTGGGCGTTCTCACCCTGGCATCTATAATATGAGAGAAATGTAATACTTTAAGTTGAGGTGAAACTAACTCGATTAAAACTAACTCAAATTAAGCTGAACAATTTTAAGGCTCCAAACATATCTGTGATAAAATGTAATGACCAAAGACCCCATTGTTAGTGTAAAGATCCATACACTTCTTGTAGATCCTGAGGAATGGGGACGGTGCACTTGTGAAAGGAGTTCTTGGTGATGGATTTGTTTGTGTTGACTGGACGCAGGCGCTCAAAGGTCACAATCTCGTTGTAGGTGGCATCACAGGCAGCATATTCAATCACATAGAACTGGAGATAAAACAAATATATTAACATTAACTAATATGCATTTGTCTTGTTTATTCTCAATGTTAATGATGTTTTCCAGCCCAACATTTAAATGGGGTTTAGTAATAGATAGTTATGAGAAATTTTACTCACATCTCCCTTCATCATACGGACTGTAGCAAGCCACCATCCACAGGGCTCCTGTTCATTGGCTCTGGAGAAGATCTGTCAAACGGAAATAAAAACCTAAATAAAAACCAAACCTAGAAGGAAAACACCATAAAACAAATCATCTTCTCCTTACCTCCACCTCCTCGCCTTCTCCAATGTCCTTCTTGGCATCAGGGGGTGGTGGAAAACGGACATCACTGAAGGGCACCTGGCGTTCTGGCTGCCAACTACAATTGAAGCAGTGATTATTTAACAAGTTAGCAGTTACTTCAACAAGCTCCATAAAAGAAAAAAAAAGCTAAAAAACAAGTCATGGGAAACTCACTTGTTCTCAAAGGCAATGGTGAGAGAGTCATCGTGGATGTCTTTGACAAAGCCCTGCAGGGCAGAACAAAGAAGAATGTCATCAAAGATTACACAATGTGAAAAAAACCCTACAAAGCAATGTGGGTAACAGAGAGAACGCAAGATTCATGTTCTCTGTCAAATAACAATAAATAATTCCTTACAGCTATTTGAGTCATTTTAAAGCAGCATTAATTAAACTTAAATCAAATAAGAGGACCGACCAAAACCTTGACTAATACCATGAAAGCACTAGCGAGGCTCCACTGATATAATAAATCTGAAGAAGTCGTCTAGAAGCTCTGTCTCGCTTAAAGACATTTGTCATTTTCTTGGTAATTCAACACCGTGCTGTTAAAGTACACAGCATAGAGAAAGCCAGAGAGTCATTTTTTGACTGTCTTTTACACAAGAATACAAAGTAATTCATCAAATGTTTTTAAAAACAAATGCGATTTTAATATCTCTGATGTAGAGTTGAGACAAAATATGTATAAAATATGAGTTATATATAATATTTTGCCTATGGCCAGTTCATAAGAACAAAAAGTGTTATTGAATGTCTATCAAATTGTTGTCAATAAACATAAAAATTACAGTGAGTCTCAGGCATTTCACACGATAATAATAGAATAATAATAAAAGACAATGTAAGTCACAAACACATTATTTTCATTTTAACAACTTGACATTGAGACACTGCAATCTAAAAAAAACCCTTTTTAGATAGCAAGCTAGACCATTTCACCAATTTTTACTTTTTCCGAGTTTGTTTCTAAATTCTCACACTTAATAAACAAAAGTAAATTTGTTAATAAACTCACAATCTATTCCCTTTCGTTTTATTTGTTCAATGAAGACTCAATTGAACTAAACCACAGATTTCAGTTGTATTGTTGTTAGCAAATGTACCAAACTTCCGGAAATATATAGTTCTTAGTTACAGATTTACCCAAACAGGAAGAAATACAGATGCATTTTGAAAAAAAAGAAGTTGTGGGTATTAAAAAAAGTATGCATTGACAAAACCACAAAATTACAGTCACACGCCTCATAAGCCTCAGCCTGGGCAACTGGAAGGCAGGGCAGTGGACACAATGACTCATGTGGATTACATTTACGAAAAGAGGCATAGACGCAATCTGAGGCACTTAGGGGAGAAACAAATATAAAAAAGGTAGAATTACGATGGAAAAAGTGATGGAAGAGGTTGGAGGGAAACTGTGGTAGAAGATTCTTTAGACAGCAGGCTTTTAAAAATAGCATTTAAGTGTACTGTATCAGTCGCCCTGCCATGACATGCCAGCTGGTCAGGATTGACAGCGAACAGCTGGCTCACACACATATACATAGAAAAAATAGCTTGGGCATGATGAAGGTATCAAATAATAGACAGCGCCAGCAGAGTGCCACACCGTCATAAAAACACACACTGTCTCTGAAATTTCACATTTTTCAATGTGACAGTGGTGTGTTCAAATCCCGAGGAGTTTAAAACACCTTACAAGACAAATACACATTAAAAGGACCAAAGAAATCGCGAAACTGAAACTCACTTTATCTCCATCTTTTGACGTTACCTAGCAAGTTTAGCTCGAACAGCTCGGAAGTGACGACCAAAACATCAGAACATCAATAAACAACATCAATATATTTAGTTTTCAAAACCAGGCTTTTTAAATACAATTTCGACAACGCAACCTTTGTCTGTTTGTAAAAAACTCAACACAAAGTGAAACAAAACAGACTGCGCTCCGACGCTAATCTAGCTTAGCAGGCTAACTATGGCTAGCACGGGCTAAATGTGACAGTTAGAATGTGTAGGAAATATTCAGTGGACGGTGTTGTTTGCTGCGAGACTTAAATGAACACACCGTGTGGTGTCACAGGCTTCCCTGTCGGGCAGTGTGTTTACGAGCTACTATTTACCTTGTAATAAGCCCCGTTGGAGCCACGGACCTCCACCGCCAGTTCCTCCATATTGGAAACGCAAAGGATGATGGGACGACAGGTGGTCCTCGAGGCATCAGAGGACTGAGAGCAGGTGAGAAGAGATCAGAGGAGGTGAGGGGGAGGAACACTTTTAGTAACAGAGAGAGAAAAAGAAAGAAAGAAAGAAAGAAAGAAAGAAAGAAATATCCCGAGTTTTATTACCACACAGCAGAAAAAATAAATAACAACCATCATATATTTTAGTGATTTGTGTTTACCACATGATATAAGAAAAAGTGCAGCAAATAAAACTCTGAGTATTGTGATTACAACCCTTCTTTATTTTCCTTTAACCATATAATTGCTGATGTGTGTCTGATCCTGTGATAAATATTTCCATCTCAGTGTGACCCTGTCGTTCCAGAGCGATGATATGTGCAGCATTTTTGTCCTAATTCAATCAAATTCAATCTTCCAGAAGGATAACAACAATGTTGGCCAATGAATGGGCTGGTGACCATGAAAACAGTAGCATGTACCATGAAATCAGTGCAGTGAGGTGTGGGGTGGAGGGAAAGCATGGACATACTGATCACACAGGGCTGCTGTGAAATGATGCTGCCAGCATGAGATTTCTGCCCACGAGTAATATTATTACTATAATGTTATACATTTTTCATGAAAATTATTTGATTATAATTAAATTCACCCCTGGTATTGTACAGATTTCGGGAGCAAATATTACTAATGATAATGATAATAATACAAATATGTGTGCAAAACATAGGATTCCCTTACTCTATAATGTAAAGTCATTTACTGCTTCTTTACACTTAAGTTGACCAACATTTCAGTGCAATTATAACAAAGTTAAATTAAATTTACATATAAAAAACTGCATTGTAAAGTATACATGTGATCTTTGGTCTACATCAGGGGTCACCAACGTGGTGCCCGGGGGCCCCCATGGACTACCTAAGGTGCCCGCGAGGTATATTCTAGTCAACAAGAATTGTACTGTTACTGTGCTTTTTTTTTTCAGTTCCACTTGTCTACTATTGTATGTCCCAGAACTAATTATTATTACATTGTTCAGGAAGTATGTATCAAACAAGTAGCTCGTCATATTACATTATAAGTGATCTTGAAGTAGCTCTCAGTTTCAGTAAGGTCAGTGACCCCTGGTCTACATCATGGGTGGGTTAGTGGGTTTTGACACATGGTGGACCGGTTCAGAATTAGTTGGACGTAGAATGCTGGTTGAAATACTACAAATAAAAATGTACAAGAATTAACCTAAACTTTCAAAGACAATTTCGCACATTTGTGTTGCCATTTAGTGGCATTAACATAAATTACAGTCCATTCTTTAAAACAGAAGGATTTACATTGGCCATTTCCAAACTGTACCTTGTACCAGTGTTTGACTGGCTGGATTAGAAAGCCCAGTGGGCCATATCTCAGATTATCTTAGATTATCTAGGGTTGGACTACATCTACATCTTTTTAAAGGTGCCACCTACAGATCAACCACCGCAACACAACACCTCCATGTATGACTATATACTGTATATATATATATATATATATATATACATATACATATATACATATACATATACATATATATATAGCAGCTGGGACGTTGTTGGAAATAAGTATTTGTCAGAAATTTGTTTTGTCACAAAACATCGTTCAGTCATATTCACCGACTGACTGACTGCTCAAGGCTGTTTTGTGACTGTTTCAATTTGACAAACACTGATTAGATTCCACATTCGCTGTCGGGGAGGGGGACGGAGGAGCGGCCTCAGTTGGACAGTTTAACATAACGCTACTGTGACACCTAGTGGCCGGGTGTATTTTTTTCACCAGATAATTTTCTGCTCTACAGAATGACAAGCTGTAAAGACAGCAGCAGAGGCACATCAGAGCAGAATGTGGTGATGTAAACAAAGCTTTAAAACATGCACGAATAAGCAGGATTATAAAATATATGCCAGGTATTAAAGTTAAACTCTGTAACGGTTGAAAAAATAGATTGCCTTTTGTCACCAATGGCTCATGTCCTGATATATTTAAGCTTATAATTTAGTAAAGTTTCATGTTTTTATCCATCCTTCCTACAGAATATAAAGAGTTTCACTGGATGGGCTGAAGTAACTACTGAAGTAAGCAACAATAAAGAAACAAATAAAGTAACTTATGGAATATACATGACATGACAAAACAATTGAAACAAAGCAGAACACTGCAAAAAAAAAATCTAATGCAATTTATAATAAATTGTTTTAATATGAAAATATAATAAACCTAAGTGGCAATTTATATAATGTATACATTCTTGTATAATTTATATAATTTCTTTACCACTTTGTGTTTTTGTCATTGTTAACTATGTCCATTTCCTTGTGTATCTGTTAATGAATGTGTGTTTGTTTTTTAAATATAACATTAAGGCAGACATAACATTAACAATTATAAACGTTAGAAGGAAAAAAAACGAGCAAATAAATGTCATTAAATTTGCCACACAGTCAGAAAAGTTGTTTTATTTTTTTAATACCAAATAGAATGGTTGAGGTGTTTTAACACTTCTGTGGGATTTTAAGAATGTGATGAAGCACAGATGGAGACAGAGTGTTCCTGAAAGTGTCCGTGTGTGTGTGTCCATGTGTGTGTGTTGAAAATGTTCGCCTTGCTCTGAAGACATTACCACAGACCCTCACCGTCTGCCTGATAGTCCGTCTCCACGTCCTGATTTAAACCAGTTTACCAATTCCATTATGCTAAGCCTGAACACTGGTTGGGAAATGATGAACGATTATGTGAAACACATAATCTCCATGCTGCACCATCACTGCAATATGACAGCCAAATTTCATTCATCCTATCCAATTTCTTCCTTATTTAAGGAGAGAAAATTACTGGTCCCAGTAATCAGATATGTAGCCAGGCTGTGTGCAGGAGTTAAGCCCACTGCCATTAGGCTTTTTCTGCTCTGCTCCTGCTGTAGTCAAACACAGGCATACACACACACTCTCTCTCTCTCACACACACACCCAGACACACAGAGCAGGACAGACTCGCGGCCACACGTCTGGCCCTCCTCACCCCTCACGTCTGCTATCAGCAGCTTCAAGGATCATTATTTGGCCTTGAAATGTTCTCGACAACACTAACAGTGTTAAGTGGCGCTGTACGACTGTTCTGTTCTACACACAACAGTCGTACAGTTAAGGGAAAAAAACGTCAGTCCTCCTGAACACACCATCCCAGTCCTTTTATTCAGAGCAATAAATTATAAACACAATATTCATCACCACGAACAGGAAGTTGACATGATAATGTTTTGCATACAGGATTATTATTATTATTATTATTATTATTATTATTATTATTATTATTATTATTATTATTATTATTATTATTATTATTATTATTATTATTATTATTATTATTATTATTATTATTATTATTATTATTATTATTATTATTATTATTATTATTATTATTATTATTATTATTATTATTATTATTATTATTATTATTAACCAGATTTCAAATCCTTTCATATCCTTGTACCCCATACTCTATTTCCTTCAATCAGGGTTTGGTTCAGTATTAGTTTGATGTAGAATGATTGATGAAATAATATTAATAAAATTTACAGGAATAAACAAACTTTCAAAGATAAATTGGCATATTTGATGTCTGTGGCCATCTGGTGGCATAAATATGAATTACAGTTGCTTTGTTGTAATGCATACCTTGCACTGGTGCAGTCTGGATTCGAAAGCCCAGCGGGTCATATCTGGTCCATGGGCCGTAGGTTGCCCACATCTGAGTTATTGCTTGGTCTTTCTGAACTTTTACTGTTGTAATTGCCAAACATATCCATCTCCTGCTCTGCCTTCTTCATGGATTTGTCAGTTTTCATGGGATTTGTATTTTTTTTTTAACCAAATACGGTGTGAAAATCCCACTGCTGTGTGTGAACGGGAAACTTAATAAAAAAAACATTTTCTTTATAGAGCTAATGTTTGTCCTCGACTGCACAAACTTCGATCTCTCTTTTCCCGTAAAATACATCTTTCATTACACAAAATTAGACCTAATTAGATAAGAACGTTATTTTTTCTTTCCTGCTTGTGATTAACACAAATCAACTTTAATGGCCAGACATTATTTGGCACAGACATCGAATCTCTTTCTTTCTCCGTGCATCTTTGGCAGCGCTGTATTAAACACCGTGTCATTTGTTACTAATTCACTCTGGATGTGTTTCGCTCTTAGAAAAGCTCCAGTGTCACAAACAGAGGGGGCGTCGTGGAGCCTTTGACTGTTTGTTCTCCTGTGCACACGTCCAATTTCTCTCTCCAATTGGAAATGCATTATAGGTGTAATTGAAAATTAGTACTACATCTTTCTATTTTTTTTCTAAAGGGTGTAATTTATGAGTCCTCATTGTTCCAGCGTGACACCTCCGGGGCCTGATTCTAACAAGGAGCCCGGAGCTCAGGGAGGCTTTCTGCTCGCCCGGGGCCCGGCAGCACTCTTTCTGCTTTGTCACTAATTGTGGCCTCCTCTCCACTGAATTGTGATTTGAGTAAAAGGAGCTTGTTGGCTCAATGCGATGAAGCTGCCGGTGATGCTCTCACCATTATCAAAGATACTCTTGATCTTTTCAAAAGCAGGAAATAGATTTTTTTCCTGTTCAATCACACAGGGAAGCGTCGGGGGTGGGAGCGCGACGGTGAAGAGGGGGAGAGTAATTTGCAATGCGTCCATTAGTTCTTCATTAAAGCAAGATTAAATTGCACCTCAAATCACATCTGCCTTTTCTAGAGTAAAGGGTGACAGTTTTAGGGCCAAAACTAATTACCAGTGCCAATGAATGAGAGAGGAAAACAGGGCTGTTTTTACATGAGATAGTGTGGCCTGTCATTATATTCAGACTAATTCCACTCTGCCTGCTCTCTTAATGAGACCAGAGCGTCCTCACAGCCCCCCCCTCTTTCTGTATCTGCGAGCACTCCAAATGTATAATTTTGATAGCACTTGGAGTTTGCATTAATTTTTTTTTCTATGAAACAAGTGCCAGATCTGTGATGTGTTGAATTATTATTTAGAGAGGAAAAAGACAGAAGGA